CTGCTGTTTTAACGAGGGAGGGAGGAAAGATTTTGTTTTTCGGCTTTGAAGGTCCCCAGGCAGTGCCCGTTCGTCCTTCTGATGGAGGTTGCTAAAGTGGAAGCTTGCGTATTCAGCCCGTACCGCGGAGAAAACAGTGACACAGCACTCGGCGGCTTTGCTCAGGTTTTCCCAGTGCCCTGACTTTGATGGACGCATTCATTATCTTGGTAAGTGTTACGTAATTCATCGCATAAAGAGATTTTGCTCTAAGGTGGTTTGCACGCTCAGTGAACTCTGTGTGGTCACCGACTGACCTCTCGTTTTCAGGGCACTGAGTCTGTCAGAATAGGTCATCGCTGTACACAGTTTGTTTCGCGAAAGTCTCCGCCTGTTGGACGAAATATGTTGAAAAAAAGCAGTGGCGGACAGTCGAAAAGGGGTGATACGCAAACTTGGGGGGGCCGTGCGGTGAGGCTCGCAACTCCTCACCCGTGAAGACCGGAAATGCCTCGGAGCAGGAGGGGAATCCTTTGACTTTCTAGGTGACTCAGTTTCTCAGAGAGGACTCTCTCTCTCTCTCTCTCTCTCTCCTACATGGAGTTTGTAGAAATTACAGATTTTTCCAGTCATGGGTTCTCCGTTCATTAGATTTAATAAGGTCTGAAAATTTATTTGAAGTATTTTTTTTTCCATAGGATCTGTGTCATTTGTCGATTTGAAGCTCGCGGTAGGCGTACACAAGACGTGGAGCCTGTAGACCGCATTTAGAAGCATCTCCACCCACGCCTTCTAGAAGAACATGCAGCTTCTTTCCCTGCCTCTGGTTTGAGACGCTGTCTCCAGCACTCACAGCTGCGTTCTCTTTATCAGGCCTGGAGATGTTGTTTTATTCCTGTCAGATGCTTAGTTTCCATGGCAACGCGACCGTTGTGTGCCCTTACGAAACTAGACTGTCGTATAACCGACGCGTTGCAGCCCCCATGACAATGTGGTGCCTGTTCTTGAGGCGTTCTTTCCATTTGTCACGTCGGACAATAACTGTTACGTCACCGGGCAAACCAGAAGTTCCTTCTGGATTGTATCTCAGTGTAGTCTGGTAGACGTTTGCCAACGTTTTATTATCACCCTGATGATGGAGGCAGCAAGGACCCCCTAAACGTTGGTAAACTTTTACACGGCGCTGGAACCCATAAGACAGCCATCTTCATTGATGAGATAAATTGGGCGTAGAAAATGCTGCAGATGAGATGCCAGCTTGGTTGTGAAATTAAGTGGTGATGCTGGATACAGAATAAAAAAAAATAATTATCGTAATCCTGTTTGATTACCCGGAAAACCGATTATCGAGCTGTGCGACCATTTCGGACATGCAGCTTTGTCGGCGCCCGAACATAAAGGGATTTTTATTTCAAGGTCGCGCTGTTCTCCACGCGGATTTAAGATTTTCTGTTTTGCGTGTAAATTGAGACATTCGCTGCTGGATAAAAGAGAGGTTTTCGAAACGCGTGAACAATTTGAGCCTTTTAATCTTAATGGTAACTATATGTACCACCTGTTTTAATAGTAATTAACTATTCATTTTTTATTTATGAATTTCGTATGATTTTCAGAATAAACATCGATTATTTCCTTAAACTGCGTTAATCATTCGATACTTGTAATGGTGAAGAGTTGTGTTTTCTTCGCGGTGCGGGCTGTATTCTTAAAAGTTGCGTAGACGAGCTTCGCCAGAAAGGGAACCCGTTCTTTACTCGCCTGTTGTCATGCTTCATGTTTCTGTCGAGAGATGTTGGTTTTGAGAATCGTCCATTGCGACTTCAAACTCAAGTACGCGGCGGTAATTGATTCTACTCGCCGGGTGTCCCCGCCTTGTCCTGTTCCTTTTCGCACTAAAACACTCGAAGCGCGCATTAAAACACATTTTCTCGGAAGGGGGTGGGGTTGCTGGTCTTCGCCCCCCCCCCCTCTGCCCCAGGAACTCGACGTCACCCTGCGCGCACGGCACAGCGTTCAATTAAAACTGCCTTTGTTTGGTGCCATCTTTATTAGAGCGCCGGTGGGCACGTCTTTTTAATGAAGTCCTGGCTTTATGTATACGGCCACAGTTTCAAGATTAAAATTGAAAGTCGCAACGTCGTGAAATTTGCAAGGTGAAGGGAGCAAAAATTTCAGTTGAAACAGAAGGCTCGCGAAAAATGGCCTTTCCTGAAGTTTTAATGATCTGTCGCCATTTATAAATGCGCCTTCGTACTTATGATGAATTTCGTCGTGGAAACAAACGAACAGACAAAAGAATCATTGTCCCGTTGTGAGATGTCGTTCATGTGGCCGTGGCCTTCAACGGGATAAAGAGAAATTTACTGCAACTGCAGAGCATCAAAATTTCCCAACCTCATTCACAATGCAAGAGCATGTTTGCAGCCATGAGTACCAATAGAAAACTATAATTTCCCTTACAAATGACTTTATAAATATGTAATTGACTTTGAGTTAGTCTAAACACGTCGCTGATGGCAATGAACGTGTACGCACGCGTATGACTGATCACCAGCGGACAAATGTGAAGAATTAACGCGCTCTTGGTGAATGTCATTGTTAATGATTAACGCGGCTTGAAGAGACGGCGTATTGAAATTAAAATGTGCTAGTGTAGATATCACGTTAGGTTTTTGTATTGTCGTGACGAACCCACGAAATTACTGATTTTTCTTGCGATCGTGGACGTTGGTATTTTGGGTCGTTTGCGCCATTTGGTGTTTCGCCTGTGTGCTAACCATTCACAGGAACATTCCGCCCTCCATCTCTCAACATGGAGGTAGTATTTTTCTCCCGAAACATACGGAGTTGCCCCAACGAGCCGTGGCATGAGAGCAGATTTGGGGCACCGTAATAAAACTGCAATCTTAGAACTCACGTGGGTAGCTAGCTTCGCGCTATGGCCTTTTAACCTTACGTAAAGAGACACCCTTACCAGGTGGGAGGCTGCGGGAGATTGTAGAACCGGCCGGGACGT